AAATAAGCTTCTTTCCTTCACAAATTACCCAACCTTTAGTATTTTGTCTTAGTAACACAAACACAGACTAAGACGATGATGTAATTTATCTGTTATTTCAAAAGGGAGAACGAAACAAAATCCAAGCATAGCATTAGGAATATGAGTAGTGAGTTCATTGGCTTTGTCTTTATTGTTTTGGAGAATTCTGAGCATTGAAGTTATAAACTTTATATAGATGCAAATGTGAACTTGATTTTAAAACCAAATAAAATTTGATTTTACTCTTTACTTTTTTTGGCTTATTATATATTGCCATTTTTTACAACATTGAGAATGATGAAGAACTAGTCCTATGCTCAACACAAACTCTTTATCGGAAGCAGCACAATTTAGAAGTGGAAACTATGAAAATAAGAAAGCAGGAAAAAGTAGTAAGCTAGCAAAATTCTTTTCTTCAGGAGCAAGAGGCCTCTGATATAATCTAACTGGTGATAAGACAGTTTATGAATAGAAAGATTTCAGAAAGCAATTTTGAACAATTGCATTACAATAATAAAATTATAGAAAGAGATGATGGAGGGCAATGTTGTATAATAGGAGGAGTATGGGAAGAGCACTTCCACACCCAACATTTTATTTAAGCTTCCACATTCCCTGTGAGTGACTAATGGAAGGAGACACTGAGTCTCAGAAACACTGCTATTGTTCAAAGTCACATAGCTATCACATAGCAGGCCTAGGAAGAAAACTCAAACTTTTGACTACTTTTCTGAATTTTTTTTTTCCATTAAGGTTTCTTTTTTTTTTAATCTTACACAAAAGATACCTTTAAAAATTGGGTTTCCATAGCTTTAAAAATAAATAAATAAATAACCTGAAAGTAGCAGAGGAACTATTAGGGAAGGGGAAGATGTAGGGGTTGGGAGAGAGCAAGAGAAAATAGAAGGAAGAGTGGGCATGATCAAAACATAGTACATGCATGAATCAAATGTCACAGTGAAGCCTATTAATTTATACAATTAAAATGCATTGATAACTATAATTTTAAAAATGTCTACATATGTAACCGCTTAGGTAAGACAAGAGGAGACAAAATAATTTAGAACACACAAGAAAAATATTTTCCAGAAAAAAATTTTTGGATCTCTGTGAATTAATGAGTCGAAAGGTCTTACTTTTCAAATAAGAATAATGGAATTTTATAACTCCCAGACACATAGCCGTAGAGTTAACCCGCAGAGTTAAAGTGACTTGTGTCCTATTGCTAATCTGTAAAGTAGCTCTGTGGTGGGTGGGTTTTCCCACTTGAATGATAAGAAACAGTCTTAACTACACAAGATTAGTTAATGGGCACTGGAACCAAGAGATTTTATCTCATGCCAATTCAAGGGTGAGTGCAATTCAGGGATTTCTAAGGACATTTTTCTCAGATTGGAGTGCTCAGATCCAAAAAGTGCTGTTTAAGGAAGTAAATGAAACTGTAGGGTAAACTGCTTGGGTCTTCCAGCATGCTCATCTTATTTAGGATTGAGGACTGCACTTCAGTTTCCTCACATTAAAACAATCACAACTACATCACAGCCTGCCAGCATGAAGTGAATTATCAAAATAAATGACTTCAAAGGTATTTCTTACACGGGTGGTTTCTTGAATTCTGCCCTCAAGTTCCATGAGGTGTTTATTTCCTTCCCTCTGAATTTGGGGATCTGTTTGGAAAAAGTTAGGCAAACGTCCCTGTAAGACACCAAGCCCTTCCTTCCTGTTTCATTTCTTTCCATGACACAATCCTCTAGAGTAAACTTAGACTTCAATTAACATGCTTTTATTAAAGTTTCAGGTTATAAGAATATCATATTTAATCTACAACTTAGGGCTTCCTTTTACATCTTAAAATATATAGTCTACGCACTCTGATTGGACTAAATGACCTCTCCTACAAAAGCTTAATAAAGTAACACTATGTACTTTTCAAATTCACCAGTTTTATTCTAGATAACTATAGCCCGACTCAAAGGGCCTGTGCCATGGGCAGCCCTCAGGGATTGGTGTTGGGCCTCTCCTAAAACTGCCCTTTCCAATGTTCCACCTAACCAGTGTCTCTGCTTTCTCTGCCCCTCCAACTCCGCCATTATTACCATTCTTTTCCCTAGGCAGATCTATAATACTGTCAATTAAAAACAAGGATGGTGTTTTAACTAAAAGTTGAGATAAAAATTGAATGAAAGAATAAGTTGAAGTTATAGAATTTCTAAACCCACTTCAAGAATCACAAGTAAAACCCTTTTGTCATCATCATTAGAATCTCATTGGGATTCTCTTTGTTCCTCTTTGCTCCACCTTTAGGTTTCTAGGATAATGATGTGTAAATATAAGGTACATGTTGGTCTTGAAATATTCGATCATTCATATTAACAGTTGCAAATGCTTTTAAGATGATAAGGCAATGTTTTCTTTTCCTTTTTATTTTACTAATAGGTTTCATTTTTAGAGCAGATTTAGGTGTACAGAAATTGAGGAGAGAGTACAGAGAAGTCCCAATACACATTCTTTATTCTCTCACAGTTTCTTTCATTATTAACTTGTTTCATTAGTGTGGCACATTTGTGGCAATTGACAAACTGGTATTGATGCATCACTATTAGCTGAACCCTATGATTTATATTTGCTTCTCTCCTTCTATGATAGTTTTATGAGTTTTAACAAATGCATAATTTTATGAATCTACCATTACAGTATCATACAGGGTATTTTCTCTGTCCTAAAGTTTCCCTGAACTTCACCTGTCAATTTTTCCACCTTCTTCCTGAATTCTGGGCCACATAATTGATTGTCATACCTATAATCATATAGTGTGAAACTTCTCAGACTGGCTTTTCACTAAGCAATATCCATGGACGCTTTCTGCATTTCTTTTGTAGTATTGCAGCACATGTATTTTCTTTCCTTTGGTACCAGGGATTGAACCCAGGGATACTTAACCATTGAGGCACAGATCCAGCCCTTTTTATCTTTTTATTTTGAAACAGAGTCTCTCTAAGTTGCTTAGGGCCTTGGTAAGTTGGTGAGGCTGGTTTTGGATTCGTGATTGTCCTGCCTCAGCCTCCTGAACCACTGGGATTACAGGTGCTTGCAACTGGGCCTGGCAGCACATTTCATTTCATTATTGAAAAATAGCTTATATATGACAATTTAGAGAAATAAAAGTATAGATATGCCAGTTTATTTATTCTGTTATGGCATCTTCTAGAATATCAGTATTTGGTGTCATCATTTTTTTCATTTTTTGATACATTTTGGGGATGAATGTTCTCTAACATATAATTCTACAGGATTCACCATTTCTTGCTTTATTTTGTGTGTGTGTGTGTGTGTGTATGTGTATGTGTGTGTGTGTGTGTGTGTGTGTGTGTGTGTGTGTATTTCTATCAGATTTCTTGTATTTTTCCTTCCAGGTTCCTATGTAGGAATATATCCATATATTCATGCTCCAGAATGGCCAAGCTAAAAGATGAATAACTTAGGTAAGGATGAGAAATAGCTTTGCACAAACAGCATCATAACCCATTTACAATCTAGAGAAATAAAAGCAGAGGCACCATCAGAGATGTGCACAGGAATACCTCAGAATTATTTATGACACCTCCAAGCTGGAAAGTTCCCCACTGCACACCAGCCACAGAGGGAGCAATGGGACAGTGATACATTCAATCACTGGAATGCTGTCCAACACAAAAATGAAAGAATAATAAAAAACAACCGTCACGGACACTATATGAAGAAGAAGATAAATATGAAAGTATCTGTCAAGTTCAAAACCAGACCTAAAGACAACACTGCGGTATGGTTGGAAGTCAGGGTTGCAGTTACCTGAAGAAGGGACTGGGCAGGAAGGAAGGCTCTCTCCCTATTGCTTCTTGAACTTGGCCATAGTTTCAAGGTCATTCCTTGTGAGAATTTATTGAGCAAACATTCACATTTATGCAGTTAAGTATAATGGGTGCCATACATTAATTTCAAAAGTGTTTTTTAAAAAGTTAGCAGCGATGCTATGAGTTTCTCAATAGCTAAACAATAACTAAATTAATAGCAACTCTAATCTAAATAGTGTGTTTAATTGAAAGAAGTTATTTAGGGTGGTAGAGGATCAAGAAAGGGTGAAAAAGAACTTTTTGGTAGATAACTCAGCATCTGATACATATTCTGTCCCTTTTATCTTTTTTAAAAATTAAGTTGAAATTCCCATTTGTTTATTTTTATTTTTTATCGGTACATGTTCGTTATACAGAATGGTGGATTTCATTGTGGCCTATTTGTATGTACATAAAATCTCCATCGGATCAATTTCATTGACTTTTTCTTCCGGACCTGGGGAATTCTGATAGGAGGACACTTTGACAATAGGCAGGCCATTTCTTAGGATTTGCTGCTGGCCAGCTCTGTAGTGGGAGCCTCTCCCTAGCTGCCTGGTTTTATTGAGACCTTCCTAAAATCTTTCTGTCCTCCATTGCCCCTTGCTCTTTGCCCTGCAATAAGGTCGATGTAGCTCTCTGATTGGTAAATTTGGAAAGTAAGCAAATCATGAATAACCGCTCCCCTCCTTTTTCTCTGCCCTCTTCCTCTCTGAGTTTCCCACCTGACAGAATGTGGCTCTAGCCTTTGCATAGCTGCTCTGTCCACACACAGGACAGTGACTGAGGAGGAGGCCTCTCTTCTTCCAGGGTTTAAGTAGCAAGCTACTGGCCTAGTCTTTCCAGCAAACCTTCCTCAGGGAAATGGCACTGGCAAAAGCCTTTGCCTGTCTTTTTTTATTATTATTATTTGTTTAATTTCTCACTTAGTTCAGAGCCAGACTAGAAGGAGGAGAGGAGGCAGTTCTAATTATTAAGTATTATCATAACCCAAATAATACACACAGACTCTAATGTGAAATATGCTTGTAGAATTTGATTGAAAGAGCCACGTTCTTCATTGTTTTGTTATATTCTAAATTTGATAACAGAAATACAATTGTTTACCACCTCTCCTGTGGCAGAAACTCCTTGCCTCTGACTTTCCACTTTTCTGTTTCTTAGACATTTGAGGTACCAGAAGGCTTTGGCGTTATTCAGAATCTGAGACCTTAAGACAGATGAGGGAGAAGAGGCGAGGCAGAGGGGAAGGAGAGAGAGGAGACAGTGCGGAAGTTAGTATCTGTTTATGAAATGGACAGGCACTCAGTGCTTAATGCATCATGTGATTTAATTGTCACAATAATCCCCTTCACAGATGAGAAAACTCAGGCTAACAAAAAATTAGGAGAGTTTCCCAAGACTTAGTAAAGTCTAATTGAAGGTTTCATTTCTCTGAACTTTTGTATCATCTTCTGACTGCACTTTTTATCCAGAGTTTGCCATTTCTTGTCTTCGGGTGCTGTCAATTTTGTTCTGTTTCATGTTTTGTGAAATCATGAAGTTGCTTTCAAAGTTAGATTATTTTTCATTTAATTTGGTATACATATCTTGTAACACAACATGCTGGATTCGGAAGGAGCTCAGGAAATACTAGTTGATGATGACATTAAGAGCTCAAAACAGGTGAGAGCATTAGAAAAACAGTAGAGTATTAAAATGTGACTGATCATGAGATATGTAATTTGAAATTGCTGTGAAAGTTCAGCAGATATAAAAATGAAATAAATGTGTTCTGTATAAGATACAAAAGTACAGCATTTACATGCAAAATATGCAATGCAAATTTTAAGGACTTTGAAATCAGGGACCCAACTGTTCACTTACCAGCCTTCGAAACTCAAAGAAGTCTTCAGCTGCTTAGAGAAATTGCAACCTCCTCTCCAAAAGTTAAGCATCTCTCTCTGAAAAAGCTATTAAGAGTTAATGAATTAGGCAAATTTGAAATGTAATAATATGACGCTATGAATTAACATTAGCTAGTTTATAATAACACATAATATCAATTACAGAGTATAATGTGCAGTATCATTTAATATGCGATATGAATAATATGCTATGTTGTGCTGTAGTGTTGTTTTATATATTATTCTGTCATTTTACAATAGCTATTAATTTGGGGGCCAAATCCCAAGGTAAACTTTAAATAAGGATTAATTCTTAGACAAAACTCTGTTAATATCCCTTGTAAGAAGATTTTGTGTCTTTCCTTGTCTTCTTTATTGTCTTCTTGGTTTCTACCTCCTGCCTGTCACTTCCGTCCTCAGGCATCTGTCCTGTCAGAACCATGAAACATTAATAACGCCTGGAGGGGGAGCTGTTTCTAGGGTTTTCCATCCTCCTCATTTTTCAAGCTGCTGGGAGCTCCTTCTTCCTCCAACTTGTCCTATCCCTGCTGCAGACCTGGGCTACATATAGTTGAACTTACACTGCTGGGTCATAATTGGAATTTAACTTTATCAAAAGACAAACCCATAAGTATTATCTTTTTATATGTTTCAAGAAACTTTTTGTGTCTGGTGCAATCATGTATTACTGAAGAAAACTCCCGAGAAAAATAATCTTAAATTGGTATTTTTTGAGTAACAGAAAAATCATTGTAAAAATAAGAGTCATAGAGGTTAATGATTTTTAAAAATTCAAGCAAGATGGAAAATGGTGAAACAAAAACCAAAAGGTCCTGAGTCTAGATTTATCACTTCTAAACTAATAATGACAATGATTGGTTCTTGTGTATACTTTACAGAAATTAGATATATGAACCCACATAGATTTTTTGTTGTTGTTCTTTGGGTGGAAGGGCAAAGAGAGGGTGAGAGAGAATCAGAGATTGAACTCTATTCCTCAAACCTTTTCACAGCTACTTTAATCCACATGTGAAGGTAGAGTACCGTGGCGTAATGGTCTCACAGAGATCTCATTTTTAACACATTTGCACTGGGATTAAGTTTCCAACATACACTTTTGTGGGAGTGGGACTTTCCAACCTCAGCAGTGGAGAAATCAGTGAAATTCAGATGAATGTCTTTCCCTATTCTTACCCCCATGCCATTTTAAATAACAGACAATATTCACTTCTGCATTTATAAATGTAATATTTATAAATGTAAATTTATAAATTCTCATTGGAGAAAGTGAAATTTTAGTGAAAAAAATCGCACACTGATAGTTTCATTAATATTTTAGAATCTTTACTCTTAGTTGTTCTCTTGCATCTTTCAGTTCTTATTAGTGACATTGGGGTTTTAGTATACAGACTTTAAAGCTACTTTTCCTTCTGTGTATTGTAATTTCCTTGGTCATTCTTGTAAAAATGTTTATCAAGTAGATTATTATGATTTTTAAGCAATTTGTTTGAGGATAGTAAAATTTTTAAAATTTATCTAAGTTAAATCTAATGTTTTTATTAATATATATAATTTTTGTTAATATATAATTTTTATTATATATAATTATATATATATATATATATATATATATATATAATTTTTATTTGGGGGGGACCATGGGTTGAACTCAGGAGCACTTAAGCAGTAAGCCACATCTCCAGCCCTATTTTATATTTTATTTATAGATAGAGTCTCATTGAGTTGCTTAGCACCTCACTTTTGCAGAGGCTGGCTTTGAACTCTCAATCTCCTTCCTCAGCCTCCCAAGCCACTGCGATTACAGATGTTCGTTGCCTTGCCCAGCTTATTTAATATATGGATTGTACAAATTAATGGGTTTTGTTATGACATTTCCATACATTGTATGGTGCATTGTTGATCATGTCCACCATTACATCTACCCCTTCTTGACCTCCCTGCTTTCCCCTTATGCACTAATAGCCCTTTTTCTACTTTCAGTTCATCTTTTTTTTTAATTGGTTTGCTTGTTTCCACATAGAAAGAAAACTTTTGATACTTACTTTTCTGTGTTTTTTTTTGTCTAGCTTATTTCTCTTTACATAATGTCCTGCAGTTCCATCCATTTTCCTGCAAATGACATAATTCTACTTTTTTTTATGGCTGAATACTGCTAAAACTAGACATAGAGCTGCGATGGGATTCAATTATATAACTCCTGAGTAAACATTCAGTGGTAATGATGTCAGCATACAAAAGTGATATTGCATACCCATGTTTATTTTGGCACTATTTACAATACCCAAGATATGGAATTGGCATAGGTACCCATCAACACATGAATGCATAAGGAAAATGTGATGTACACAATGGAGTATTATTGAGTATTGGTGTTCTCCTGCTCTCAGACTAGAACTTATTTTGCCAATCGCAGATCATAAAAATTGACAGAATCCATAATTTTTAAACCAATTTCTTATAATAAATCTGTTTATGTATATGATATACATCATAAAAATTAAAAGGATAACAATATATATTTATTATTTATCAATTAATATAATTAATTAATTATTTTATTTATTATTTATTAATAATAAATAATAAAATATCATTGTTTTATGTCAATAAAGTTATTATTTTTTAAAAACCCAGGAAAGATCTTAAGTGAAACTTGATACACAATTTCTAAAATATATATGTAATAGCAAAGGACCAAGAATAGCCAGTATAATTCGAAGGAGAATTAAAAAAAGACGAGTTTTTTGAGATAAAGTTTATTATAAAATAATACTAATTAAAGCTGTGTGACATGAGAGTAAAGATAGACATAGAAACAAATGCAGGAATCTGGAGTGCAAAAAGACCCATGCTTCTGAAATCCTGACATGCCAAGATGGCATGGCAGAGCACAGGGAAAAGGAAGATCTATAAAGAAGTTGGAAAAATTAGCTACACATGGATATAGAAAACAACATCAGATTCTAAATCATAATGTACCAAACCAGCTATAAAAGGATGAATAATCTAATTTTTGTAGTACTTAAATTCTATAGGTATACCAGGAAAAATCTGTAGGTATATACACAGCTCCCTGGCAGTCCTGTTCTTAACATCAAAGAAAAAAATTGGTAATGATCCAGCAGCCATCAACTACAGAATGTATAAATAAACCATGTTCTTTTTCACACAGTAAAAATTGAACGAGAGTGAAAGCAAATGTACTGTAGCTACATGTAGTATTGACAATATAAAGTGCAAAGACATGTCCAGAGACTACACAAGACATACCTGTATTATAAAGTTTAAAAGCAAAATAAAAATACATAAACAAAGGTATATGCTGTATGTACTCATTAAAAATAACAATTCAGAAGAATCATTCAAAATACGTTGTGGTTATATCTGAGCAGTGAACGGGGGTTGGTGAGAATGATTTGGATTTAAGAGTTTATATTTTCCACTTTGGTAATTTCATATATTTTTATTTGTTCTGTTTTGTTTTTCTTTGTTTTGTTTTGGTACTGGGGAGTGAATTTAGGGATGCTTAACCACTGATCCACATCCCCACCCCTTTTTTGTGTTTTATTTAGAGATGGGTCTCACAGAGTTACTGAGGGCCTTGCTAAGTTGCTGAGACTGGCTTTGAACTTGGGATCCTCCTGCCTCACCCTCTGGAGTGGCGAGGATTATAGGAGTGTGACACCACGTCAGGCTACATATGTTTTTATAAGTTAGATAAGTAAACAAATAAGTATTTGTTGGTTAAGCAAGTGTTTAAAATAGAGGGCGATGTACAGAATTAGTGATAATAATATTTATGTTTCAGATACAAAAGATAATGAAAAATTCTACATTTATCATAAACTAAATTTGAATCTGTACTGAATTGCTTCTCTATTATTTTCCCTCTATGGTATCTAGTCCTATTTAAGAATCATTATATTTTATTAGTAATTCTTTATCATGTGTTTTAATATGCAGCAGACAACCCACCTTCATTGCTTTTATTTATCACAGGAAGTATCTGTATTTTGCATAGTATATATTAACTGTAAACCGCACATATCAAAAATGTGTTCTTAATTTGCAGTTTATCAGTTACCATGAAACTGTAAAACTTGAGGGTACAATATATACAAGTTACAATTAACACCACACCCCACAAAATGAGTTATACTACTTGTATTCTTAAATCTTTAATTCACAAATATTAGTAGATAAATCTTGAAAAGTGTCAAGGAGAGAAAAAATGAAAATTTAATTAAAACTACATGTAACTTATAGGTCAGTTGGGGGATAATAACTGTATTTGTAATGTCATATCAAAACCATCATAACAAATACAAATGCTTATCAAATTTGTCAGTTATAAAATATAAATACATCCCAATATATTGGAGGCTATGTCAGATAAAAACTCTATTAAATGCAATTGGAGGTTAAACCTCATTAATCCACGGAGGCACTTTCTGTGCTCCTGGGCAGAGCTGTCTTCTGGACCTCATAATTTGATCAAAAAGCATTTTAACTGCTTTGGAATGTTCTAGGACACAGAAGCATATTTCCAGTAATAGATCTAGATTATACGACACAATGGACTTGATGAGAAAATATTCAAATGAAAAATAAGTCTGATAAAATGTAAGATAGAGAAGCAGAACCTGAGTTTAGAAGAGTGATATTTTCAGAGTTATTATGAGATTGTTTCTCCTCATTCCCTCACTTTAGCCTTCAGGATGCCTTTTTATTCAAAGAAAGAAAATGATATAGAATGAAGAGTGAAAATCTTCTAAGGCTCAACACACATACTGTAAATAAACATGTAAAAAGGCTAATCACATAAAGAAAAAAAACTTTTTTTTTCTGATGGTCAGAGGAAGAAAGCATTAAAAATAGAGGATGTCTAGGACAATGCTGGCAATTGCAGGAGTACCAAGTATCGGGCAGCAGAGGTCATGTGTGAAAGGAGGAATGGATGCTGGAACAGTGCTTCACAACTTCAAGAAAGAGCTCTGTTGGTGTCAGAATTTTACCACTCCAAGGGCTGCCAGGAGAAATAACTC